TATATATATTAATATATTCCTTTATCGTTTGTAAATAATGTAAATTTGCAAATAATGCAAAAAAACACATGTAATAGTTTGTACTTGATGATATTGAAAGATTGTAACAAAATAGATATTATTATATTACTATTATACTAAAACAATTAAGATACATAAGATTAATTGCAATATCGTATTATAATAAGTATTTCTTAAGATCTAAAGTAGAGAAAATATTGTTTAAGCACATAGTAGTCTTACATTTCTTGTAAAGTTAATATTTTTTTTTTTAAATAATAAATATTTTTATATTTATATAAAAGAAAGAACGATATTTTCATGACTCCTTTTTATGGAGTGACTTAGAAAGTTAAAAAATGTGTCTAAGGAAACGGAGAAGAAATTGTCAATTGAAAAGAATTAAAAATCTCATAGAAAAATTGTGCAAAAAATTTGAATGAACTTAAATTGTAAGCTCTAAAAACGGAGATCTTATCCTGGGGAGAGATTTATAAATATGAAGTATCACTTGAAGTAAATATCATCCTTCCCTAAAATTTTAAATATAATCTAGGCTTCTAAAAGAAATGTAAAAACTTATCCCAAAACAATTACTTATATTTTCTCTACTTCAATAAATACTTATAATAGGATGATGCAATTAAAAAAGCTAATCTTACATTTAACAAAATGTTGGAAGTCATTGTAATTATGATAAAATCCCATTTTATCATTCTACTTAACGCTTTATATTGACATAAATGATTTTGTCTCAACAAACGTCTGAACAATGAAACGTCTCAACAATTATGAAAAAATATGATACGTGCCAATAATTACAATGGTGAACTAAATCATAATTAACGGCATGTATATAGAATTTTTGAACTTAATGATTATTTTATACAAAATATTATAATAGTTAGGAAAAAATTTAGTAATTTACACAGCAAATAATTTAGTATTTGTTTACAAACATGAACAAACTGCTGGGCTGGAATTAGAAGATATGTATTTTATTTAACATGTTAAATGCCAAACCTATTTTGTTTAGTATCCTACTTATACCAGGTTAATCCGTCAACTAGAGATGTCCATCACCAATAACTAAAATGGCACTTAACGTGTTAATAAATTAACATGCTAACTATTCAATTTCTACGTAGAATCATTACAGATAGAAAGAGACAGATGTAGAATAAGATAATATTTTATAAGATGTAACAGAAAGAATAGCAGTTTGTAAAACCAAATGCAAAAATAGTTTCTTAATCAATGAATTATGCGATTCTTAATAGTAAAAAAAAATATGCATCATATTTCACAACCTTTTAATTGTAAACGTAATTTAGTGCACAAAAAACAAAAGGAAAAGAAAAGAAAGGAAAAGAAGAAAAAGGAATAAAAAAAATCAAATAGTTCAATAATTTTTGATAATGAGAGATCATGACTTGCAACATAAACATGAAAAATAAATATATAAAAAAAAAACGGACAAAATATCAAATAAAAATTATTTTACTTTAATTTCTATGGCTGAGCGGTACTTCCTATGGAGATGCTTTTTTGATTTTATGATTTCATTGCTATTTAAATAAAAGTTTGACTATTACAGCTGCCCAACTTTCACTTATATTTTTGTATATAAATGAAAATGCTAAGTAAACATCAAACAAGCTATTTAAGCATAGTCATGATTTCATTATTTTACAAATTAGCATTGTGATAATAAGTAACTACTTATTACAGATGATTATAAGTTGATGTAGATTGTGTAAATTGATCATCTGTTTCAACTTTAATATCAACACTTTCGGTTGTTGTGTCTTTGTGTTTAGCTAATTCTATTAAAGCTAAAGCACCCATCAGTTCTTTATTACTTTCTGGTAATGATAATTTAGGTATATCATTTTCTTGTTTTATAATTGTTTGATTATTATCTTTCGTGGTTAAATCAACTAAAGGCATTTCCGAGTTGATTTTTTTCTCTGCGATATTATTCCCAGAACCTTTGAACATCAAAACTGTTGGTCTTGTTTCATTAAGAATGGGTTTTGAAGTTGATATAAGAGATTTAGGAATCGATATTATTTCAGATTCTTCGTCGATATTTTTCCAAATTGTATTGTTCAATTCTTTAACCGTATTTTGTCTATCCTGAAGAATAGGAGCTTCAAAAGATTTGGAATTATTACTATCAGACCACAATGTTTCTAATGCCACAGTGCCTTCTGTGTTTATATTTTCTTTTATTTCTTGTTGCAATATCATGTTGGAATATTCCATATAAGATTCTACGTAGGCTTGTGCATTCCAACTATCTTGAAGTAAATTATTATAAGAAACAATATTATTTTGAGAATGTGGAATTATTTCGTTTAGACTTTTTCTACATGGTGGAGATATAGGAGACGTATTTGATGATTCCCATTGTAAATTAGAGTTAGAACTAGGAGTTGATGGTTCATTAGAATTTATTCCTTCATTGTTCATTGCACCAGTCGTCAATGTACTATTGGCATTAGTATCCCAATTTATGGGGTTTTCCAAGTTCTGTTCCATACAAGCTTCTCGTAGCCACCGTTTCTTTGGTTGAAGTCTATCTAATGGGTTTGCTAATGACGAAGTAGGTAATTTTGAAGATAATTCGTCCTCTAATGTTTGTAAAATAGAACATGTTTGATCTTCATCTTGACTATCGTCTTGACTGTCCTGATTCTCTGCGGAATAAGATCTTTCTTTTGGAACTATACAATTTAAGTTCTCTTGTTCACCAACAGCATCGTCCATCACTAAACCTTTTCTAGATTTAGGTTTTTTAATATCTTCGCTACCATTTTTCCATACTTTTCTTTTATGTTCTATCTTTTCTGTTGGCGTTCTTTCCTCCTTTTCTCTAGACATTTTAAAACGTTCAAGCCACCGTGTTTCTTCACTAGATAATTCCGTATTTTTTGGAATAAATTTCAATGAGAAATCATCAGATCTAGATAAAGTTGCATAAGGATGTTCAGAGCAATGCCTATTAGCATGCGTGAATCTTCTTTTACAATCAGGTATAGAGCACACAAAAGGTTTTTCCCCTGTATGTAAACGCTGATGAGTTTTCAGTTGTCCCGATTGCGTAAATGCTTTTAAACAACCAGGAAAGTCGCATTGATATGGACGTTCTCCTACAACATTCCAACAATTTCAAATGTTTATTTTTTATTTATAATCCTATTATATATAGCAAAAAATACAGAAAATATTTCAATTCATAATACAGGGTGTCATATAACTAGTGGTATAGGTAAGCAGGGGGTTATTCTACATGAAAAACTAAGTGAAAAATGTATAGAATTAAATTTGTTTATTTAAGATTTTATTTTCGAGAAAAATAAGTTTAAAAATTTGTCAAGTACACGTTCCCTTAATTCAGTTTCAGTTCTAAAAATTCTACTATCTTTTACATATTTTGGAAAGCATTTTTGTGCTTCTTAATATGTTTAAAAACATTGTAAGAATGATGAAATCTCTTATATCTATATATCTTATTATTATTCTATTCTTATACTTATCGAAAAAGACTTTTAGTTTTCAGGGTTGCAAGCTCAATCAAGTGCATGCATTTTCAACAAATTTCCAAACTTATTTCACTCAAAAATAAAACCTTCTATGAACAAATTTGATTCTACATTTTTGACTTAGTTTTTCAGGTAGAATTATCCCAGGTTCATTTGTACTATTGTTTAAAGGACATACATAAAATAAACACAATAGACGATTAATATTTTATATTTATTTACAATTAATATAAATCTTATAGAAAAAATGATAACCAGTTATTTAGAACAAAAAAAAAACAGATAAAATATTAATTATTTTCTGAAATAGTCAAAGAAAATTTGTATCATCATGTAAATATTGATTAAATGACTAGATTTAAAAAGCTTTCTTAGCTTCTCACTATTACGTAAATTATAAAAAAAATAAATATTTTCTTTTTAACTCTGAATACTAACAAATAAGATAAGCATCATACTTTATTTTGAGATACATAATCGTACACGTGCTACTGAATGAAGGTGAGCTCATATACGTGCTACGATATATATACATGCGTTTAATAATACTTTAAAAAGAATGATTGTAATTTCGTCCATTGTAAATATAGTAATTGTGAAGCATTTATTAAGAAAGTTGCTATTCTCGTTCACCCTGCATCGTTATACATAATAAGCATAATAAAAAGAGAAATAAAGAGCGGGGGAAAAGAGCAGGAAAACGAGAAAGAGAAAAAGAAAGAGAAAGACTCTTAAAGCACGGATTTAAAGCACGCATGATGGCGTTTGGCGGGAGCCCGACCACGCGCTGCGCGTAACCGTTGCGCCAATATTTTGTATGAACATTAGAAAAAAGGCGCTATCGTAAATACACCAATTGTAATCAATTGAACAAACAATTAGTGTAATTAATGATACATTGAAGAAATAATATGATAATCTTTAGAATAATATTAGCTTAGAAAATAAATAATAAACACAAATCGGGGGAGTTAAAAGGAAAGAAAAATAACATACCAGTATGCGTTCGTAAATGAGCTTGTAAACTCTTTTCTCGAGGAAAAACACGATTACAATAAGAACATTTAATACTACTGGGTGATGTGCTCCCCTGCTTCATAAGTTGTGTAAGAACATCTGCTCTAGGTCTACCACGTCGTTGATTATCAGATGCAGAATCTGTTTTAGATCCCGTGTTGCCCGAGGGCATACTTTTTTCTCTGTATTCAGGCGATGAACATGAATGACTGGGACTAAGATCAATGTTCCTAGCTTCCTCACTCCAGTTCCAGGGATAAAGCATTTGGTCACTGATCGAAGGGCTGGTCAATGATTCATCAAACGATCGTGATTTTGAAGCTTGCAATGCCATTCCGCCCTCTATTTTCCAATATACAAGACACTTTTCTTTCTTTAAAATTTCAAGAAAACGTTAGAGAAAGTATCTACTATACTCGTGCGACCTCTTCTTTTCCGCGTTTTACCGCGTGTCGCGTGCAACTATTAAACCGCCAAAATACAACTGTAATGGATAACGCCGTGACGCTAACTTTAGAAGGTACAGTCGGTAATAAAAATATCTTATCATCATTTTTGCGATTGTCCATTTACTTAATCAATTCTATTTTAAATTTTATATTATAACATCTTCATAATATTTTCTGATTTCAATTAGAATTTCAAATGAAAGTTTTAAAAATAAATTAAATTATAACGATTGGCTCGTTTGGTATTGTCGAATCACGATAACGTTTGTGCTCCTACTCATCCGGTTATCGACCGATCAAATTTCATTTTATTATTTCTGGCGTCTTATTCGTTCTAATCAGTTTTACAATGTCCAATCACATTCTTCGAATCCGAAGAGAATTCTGATTTGAGAAATGAAAAATAAACCAATCAACGAATAGCGAATAACTAGCGAAAAAACTACAGCCAATACAATCTGATACAATTTTGATTGGTCGATTCTCAACTTTTCTTTCGGCATTGTTCAATCAGAATTCGTATTTCTCATTATAACATCTATGTTCTAAACTCTATTCTTTAAAATATAATGACGATATGTAATAATATTATTATGTAAAGATACTGAAATTATTACTTCATTTTAATTGATATAATTTGTTTAAGTTATGCCTAAAATAATTTCTATATTAAACGAAATTATGTCGTGGATTAAATATACAAATCATACCAAATACGGCAAACGGAAGTAAATCTATCGAATAGAAATAAGTAAATTGATATGTTATTATTACTATTAATATAATGAATTACTTATTTTCATTTATTTTTGTTTTGTAATATATTATGACGTAGATTACGTATATATTACTTTTATACAGACAAGCTTTAAAGATAAAGTTATGTTCTTCAAGGAGCATGCATATGAAATTTCCCGCCTTTCTTGGACTTCTGTCGGCGTTATTAATTTGTATTAAAAATATGAAAAATATAATTTAAATTGAAAAATGTCAATAATTGTAAAGAAAATTTTCCAAAATAATCTATATAAAACTATCGCTAAAAAATATTTTCTCCGGTATTCAGTAGACTCATGAAAAACATGCCAATTTTATCAAATACAACAACTATAAAAATAATTATACTTTATTAATTAGAGCCGGTATTTTGATAATTCTATATGACTAAAATTAAAAACTTATTTTTTGATGATATTTTTTGGTAATAAATGACATAAAATGATTATTATTAAAAATGTTGGTGGGGAAGTGGCGCGCTGGGTGCAAGACAATTATGCGGTCCCTCCCCAAACGCAGACCTCGTGGTGAACTATCTTCAACACGGCCATATTGAAATATTGAATGTCTCTCTCACACAAGGGCTCAATAGTAGCCGTGAAATTTTCGAATAATCCTCGAAGAAGAGAGGATAAGAGACATGGAGAACCAGTACAGCATTACTGTCACAAATAAATTTGGAAATGCTTCTGCTTGGGACGAATCAGAAGATCCACAGCTATACTTGCAAAAGTTGCAAGAAGCTAAGAAAAAAGACAAGCTCGCCGAAAAGGAGAACAAGAGTAAGCAGACCGAGACACAAAAGCTTGCTGGTAATAAGACGCCCAAGACTCGTGTAATAAAAGATGCCCAACAACAAGTAACTAAAGTGCAAGAAGTTAAGAAAGATCCAGGTTAGTTCGTTTCTTAACCATCTCTCTGGCCTCGTGTGCGCGGTATTATGGCCGCCGGTTTGTTCCTCGTGGCCCCATGTGCTTTTCATATATATTTCTGCTTATGATCATTTTCCCTTAACTGTTCCAATAGATTTGCTTTCATATCATCTGTAATCAAAGATCTTCACAGTTCTCCTACCGGTTTCAACTTTAATGCAAGCAATATTACATGGAACACAATAGCATTATTTCCATTTATATTTTTCATTTTTACAATGACTCACATAATCATATTACTACGAATAAATAGATATATTTGTTTAACTATAAATATTATTCAAATTATATTATTTTCTTCTATTTTCATTTCACTTTTTTTTGTTTTTTTTTTTCAACAGCATTTAACAAAGTAAATTGCAGATTGACTTTTTTAAGATTAACTACAACTTTTGCAAATGTTCTTAATTGCAAGAGCATTTCTTGTTTTATATATTCTATTTCTTTGTTTTAATAAAATCTTGGGTTCAATAACAATTCCTATCATTCTTTAATCATCGTTATTAATTCGTTAAAATTTAACATGTACGAATACAAAGAACGTTTTATAATTTATTAGGAATATCATTTCAAGACAGATCTTTTTAAATTTCCCTTATGTTTTTATAATTTTAATTCAATGCAATATGGAAATAAATAATATAAATATTGCATTTGCATGATAGGTGAAAAGAAAATAACTCAGCCAAGAATAACTGCAGGAGATCGAAGCGTTAAGTTCTCTGGAGAATCTAGAGAAGAGCATAATAACAGACGTAATCGTGAAGATGGTGAAAGAACAATCCGTAACCAAGGAGAAGTAAGACGTGGACCGAATGGGTTAGTATATTGAATCTATATGTTAGATACTTGAAGCGTATGATATTTTCTATCTTATTAAATTTGTTTTTATATTATCAAAAAATATGAAAGAAAACTAACTTGAAAATGCATTGCATATAAAAAGATAAGTAATCATTTATTTTTCACTGTTTTATAGCGAAGCTCGAGAAATACGTGAATATCGTAACACCAACGAAAACCAACGTGGTGACTATGGTGATCGCAGAGGACGTGGAGGTATGCGCGGAATGGGCCGTGGACGTGGAGGTAGAGGAGGAGGTAGAGGTGGCTATGATAACCGTGGAAAGCGTGAATTCGATCGCCAGTCTGGCTCCGATAAAACGTTCGTATTAATATTAGAATTAGAATGTTCTCTTATAAGTGATTCAATACTAATTCGTCATATATATCTTTTTTGTATAAATAGAGGAATTAAACCAATTGATAAGAAGGATGGCGCAGGAAGTCACAATTGGGGTACTCATAATGATGAGATAGAGTAAGTAATAAATCTATATGAAAAAAATCAATGTGATAGATACTGCCGTGCACGTTAAATCATTTAATTTCTTGATATTTTATTATCAGAGAAAGCTTAAATCAGGAAAATGTTGATTGGGTAAATGAGAAACCTGAAACTGAAGTTACCCCAACACCAACTGAAGTTAAAGAAGGAGAAACATTGGCAGAAGCTTCAACCGATGAAAAACGACAAGTACCAAAGTCACACGAATTGACTTTGGATGAATGGAAACGTCGTCAAAACCGAAGGGCAAAGCCCAAATATAATTTGCGCAAAGCTGGAGAAGGTGAAGATTTGTCTCGATGGAAGAAAATGTATGCTTTGGAACGAAAGAAAGAAGGCTCTGAAGAAGATGAGGAGGGTGAAGAGGAATTTGATGCAGCTGCTGAATTTCCTCAACGTGCTGGAAGGCAAAAACGTGTCTTAGGCATCGAAATACAATTCAGCGATGCACGACGCGGCACTGGAGGACGTGGTCGAGGAGGACGCGGTGGTCGCGGCGGTGAACGTGTCAACGGTCGTGGATTTGGAAATCGCGATGCTCCCAGAGATGGGGATTCTCGTGGTGCTGCAGTAAGTATATCTATACATTTATACATGCATTACATATATATTAAGTTAAGTAATATATAATTTCCATTTTAGCACATGCATATATTTACTATATTTTGTATTAATTGTGAATAAATCGTTAAACAGTTGCAGGCACCACAAAACGAACAAAGGTCACCGCGCGGTCGTCAAAATGCTCCAAAAGTAGATGACGAGAATGATTTCCCTTCATTGGGATAGAGAGCTTCGTCTTTTGATTATACAATATCCCACAACCACCGCAGCCACCAACAGTACTTTTATGACAGATAAAATTACTATTATTATTACGAATATTATTATCAACCGTCTTACATCAGTGACAATATTATTAATGCATCATTCATACAGTACCTTTTGCAGAATGAGATACGTAATTTGAATAAAACTTAGCGCCCACAAAAGCGCTGCTTCATATTGACACATGACTATTCGTGCAAAGCTTATGTGAGTACAAAAGAATCCAAATAAGATTCTTAGTGCTTACATGAAGATTGACCATATGTAATTGTGAAATATAAAACATAAGTGGCAATATGAGATCAGTGAAGCAGCATATCTGAACGAACGTTGTTAATAATCGTGAATTTGCTGAAAAAAAAAATAAGAAAGAAGTCGAAGAAATTTTTTCATAAAGACTCAGATTAAGAAATACAAAATCAAATGCGAGATCCATTTTACATAAGTTGGAATAACTTAAAGACTAAATATTGCGTACATATATATATATATATATATTTATATATATTATTTCGAAACATCTATATATATATATATATATATACATATATATATATATTACTCTGAACGGAAAGAAAATTTTATCGAAAATGTATTGAAAAAGAAAATGAGTAAAGTAAAGTAAAAAAAAAGAAAAGAGAAAACAACAATTTAAGCGGCGAAGTAATCATGAATTTTAATTTTGATGTGGCATTGAAGGCCTAAGGAGGCTGGATGCAGCACCGATACGTATATAAAACTACATATGTACGATAACCGTGTAGCTATAAATTTTAAACACTCTTTCTGTTTTATAATTTTTATACGGTGTTTGGAAAAAGCCTTCCTGATCGCAGTTGGCAAGCGACATTGCTTACCGCGCGTAAAACTTAAGACTCCCGAAGCGTATGTTTCTATGTAATAAACGATTCTACTAAAAATGTTTATTTAGCTAAAATAAGTTTGGCTTATAGAAAGACATAGATACTACTTTCCCTTCAGATGTAACTAATCTGAATCTAACGTTTAAGTGATGAATATTAGATACATACACCGATGAATACACAGCTTTACAAATGTATAACAAATTTTAAGGAAATAGGAGCGATTAACTGCAGTGTAAGGGATGGCAGAATGAATCTGATAATCCGGTACGTGTTATACTTATTCGTCGCGATTGTCATATTCTTAATTATAAATTGCTATATTAGTTATTTACTACACTTGTTATACGTTTAAATAATACAGCCAAAAATTCACATACACGTACACACGACACATCCCGGTCCTCTCCCTCTCTCTCTCTTTCTCTCTCTCTTTCTCTCTCTCCACGTTGAAAAATACGTTACGAAGCTATTTGAAGCTTAGGTATATGTGTAAATAACATGATATTTACAATAATAAATTGTGACAAGATCAGTCCATTTCATTCGGCCCTTAATCAAAAACAATATGTTAATGATGGACCAAAAATAGTATTAGAAAAATACGATTTATGTTCTAATCTACAGGAATGAAGAAAAGAAGAATGGAAGGTATGTTTCAATACGAATGATTTTAAACAGATTTGTTGATATTTGTTTTTTTTTTTTCTACAAATTAGACTTAATCATGTTCGCATTAAAAAAAAAAAAAAAGTATGCATGAATTGTCCTATGAAAAAATACTTGGAATAGTTTTAAAAGTCCTTTATATTTCTCCCTTCACATTATTTTAGCAAAGGAAAGAAAAGGAAGGAGGGAAGAAGACAAAGAAACAAGATTGTTTCCAATTTGATCCGATGGAAAGCGCTGCTGTAGCGGGACGCGGTGACAAGTGGTGCGAGGGGTATCGGTGATTAGGAGGGAAGAAGAGGAGGAGCGAGAGAGAGAGAAGAAGAAGAGAGGGCTAAGCCCGTGAAAAAAGGACGAGTGGTAGAAAGAGAAAGGGAGAGGGAGAACAGGAGCGCATGCCGCAGCCACGGCCCCCAACTTGCCCTAAACTCGTGCGAGCAGGCTCTATCGTCGGGCGAATTTTAATGGCGGCTTATTCCCGACTCCCTGTTTAGTGTTGTGTTGTGGAGTGAATCGATGAACACATTGTTTGATTGAATTTTACACACGTGCAACCTGGACGACACGAATGGACCCTAACTTATTGTCAAATATATAGACAAAATAAGAGTTTTCAATTTGTGCAAGGAACGGTGTTCCCACCTCATACAAGTATATAGAAAATAATTCGATCGAGATACAGAGGCTCACGAGACATGGTGCACATCCGCGATGTGCCGTAGCCGTGGCGACTCACCACCTCTCAACGGATTCTTCAACCCTACAGCCGTTTCCTACGCCTTCGCTCTTACGTGGAAAAGGTAATTTCATTTCGATACATTCGATACAAAATCAAATATGTCTTACGACTTCTTCTTTTTCTTCTTCTTCTTCTTCCTATTTTTTTTTTACTTTCCTTTTTTTTCCTTCTCTTTCTTCTTTTCATTCCATTCTTTTTTTTTTACTTGTGTCGCGATAATATCGTATACGAGTGATTGATAATCGTACGTTCCATTTTATGCTATCAAGAGTTTAAATGTGCAAGCGTTTCATCTCTCTCTCTCTCTTTCTCTCTCATTCTCCTCTTTTTCTTTCTCTCTCCTCTCCTCTCCTCTTCTCTCTTTCTCTCTCTCTCTCTGTCTCTGTCTCTCTTTTTCTCTAGATGGATAGACGTCTTTCTTTTGTTTTTTTTGCTTTTCCCCTTTGTTTCACCTAATCATTTTTTTGTTCCCCCATCTAATAATTCGTATTGTTACGCCAAGGTGATAATCGTAAATCAAGGAAAGAAAATAATCTATGAATACTCGACAAGTTTTTGTATTACGGTGGCCGCTAAATTGCAAGACATACAAGGTCCTTGCCTTTGTGCGAAGACAGTGGCCCTATAGCTGTCAAGAGAGTTCTGCTGGCCACGTTAATGAAGGGCGGTGCGTGATACGATGTTACCTTAAAAGCGTGGAGCCATCTGCCTTAGCTTGTCTGTCATCGATGTTAAAATCTTTTTAAATGTTCAAACGTGTCATAATAATTATATTGTTGTTCTTTATATCATTGATTATCGTTCATATTAGTTTTGTGATAATGTAATTAATATGTCAGTCGATACATCGATTACTTTTACTAATTTTAAACAAATGTAAACATATATTGTAATGAGCAGATGTAGAGGTAATTTACATTGAATTTTTGCTAAGTTAATTAACAATGAAAGATTACCTTTTTATTTTTATTGTTAAAGGGGTTAAGAGAAAAGGAAAAACCATGCAAATAAACAACAATCTTTTGGATTCTATATTTTAAATATATATATATAATTACATTGAAAAAAAAAAACAGAATATTTGCATGTTTGTCTTACTTATTAGTTGTTTAATACTTTGTGTATTTTTATACTTATCTTTGGGTTTTGTATTATTGTTTCAGGGGTACCGGACAGTGAGCATCATGTCGGTACCTGGCCATACATATTGCTGGTAGTAACGTATTCATATTGGCGTTCTACCAGCGGTTATTATACCCTAACTATACCTATTAAGCTTCCTACCCTAGCCTTGCATACGCACAAACGCACACGCCTAGCGTGCGCGCACGTGCTTTGCTAGGTGTCGTATACACACCATGAGATTCCTGGAGTATAGAACATTTTCTATTTCATCAATATTTTCACCTTGCTGCTTGCTGCAACCGTCCTTCCATGGATCATTATTTTCGTCCATGTCTGTTGCCACTTGGTTTTTAGTGGTATTGGTAACTGCAGCAATAGACACCCCTGCTAGTACTACTGTGCCACCACAAGAGAATAAGTCACCTCACATAGCTGCACAATTTCCTGCCGAAGAAAGTCAGCATTATGGATTTTATGCCTTAGATCCAAATACAACGAGAGAAGGTGCCCTACGATTTAATCATCTAGCCATAGATCCTATCACAAAGAGACTCTATATTGGGGCTGTTAACAGACTCTTGCAGCTTGATTCGAACCTTCAGCTTGAAGAACATGTTTCAACAGGTAAATTCATTTTTAACATGCATTCTTATTTCTAAAAAATCTTGATATTCATTTCAAAAGTTTCAATTCGCTTGTTTTTTTTTATATTTAGGACCAATATTGGACAATCCTCAGTGTCATGCTACAGGCTGTTCTCCTAGAGATGTAACAACACTAATGAACAACGTAAACAAGCTTCTCATTGCTGATCTCGAATCACGAACCTTAATTGCATGTGGTTCTCTTCGCCAGGGTGCTTGTGAAAAGTACAAAATGTCGAATATAACTACTAAGCCAGAATTTATTCCTCTCAGTGTAGCAGCTAATGATGAAACTTCTTCTACATATGCTTTCATTGGTCAAAGTTATAATCCATGGGGAAAAACAAATATCCTATATGTAGGTACAACATTTACCAACAGAGGAGACTATCGGCACGATGTACCTGCCATTTCGAGCAGAAATCTTCGTAATTTAGAAATTGCTGAGTTTTCATTTACCAAACAATCGATAGTATATATAGATGTTAAATATAGAGATCATTTCTTAGTCAAATATGTCTATGGATTTAATGCGAGTGATTACGCATACTTTGTATTAGTACAGAAACAATCTTATCTTCCTGAACAAGAAGAATTGGGATATACATCTAGATTGGCAAGAATTTGTATAAGTGATCAAAATTATGATAGTTATACGGAAGTGACTTTGCAATGTACGGTAGATCTAGGAGACGGAAAACAACATCTTTATAATTTAGTACAAGATGCTAAGGTTGCATTAGCAGGGAGCGATTTGGCGATGCAGCTTGGAATATCTGTTGGTGATCCTGTGTTTGTTTCTGTGTTTTCTCCGAGCAAAGGTATCACAAACGAACCTTTGTCTCGCTCAGCAGTTTGTATCTACAGTCTACAGGAAATTGAGACGAAATTTAATGAGAACATTCACATGTGCTTCAATGGTACTATCAAATATCGCAACATGGGTTACGTGAGTGGTCCGATACAAGATGGAAAATGTCCTTCGGCCGGTGTAAGTATAAATATACGCATTTATATCTTAACATAATTTTTACAAATATCCGCATATTTTTTTTTTTCATAAATTTGTTACAGAATACTGGAAATATTCTTAATTTTTGTGAAGTAGGCTTGAAAATTTCTGGCGTTTCACCTATTGTAAGTCAAGCAATTTTACATTTTCCTGATACATTTGTGACTTCTGTGACCGTAGCAAATACAGAAAGTCATACAATAGCATTTTTTGGAACTGATGATGGTGTATTGAAAAAAGTTTTACTTTCTGCAACTGAAGCATTTGTTTATGAAAGCATTGTAATTGACAAAGGTCAAAGATTATTACCTGATACAGCAATCTCTCCAGATGGAGAACATTTATATGTATTGTCAACTTCAAGAATTTCAAAAGTCAAAGTAGAACATTGTAGTAGTTACACGAATTGCAGTAGTTGTCTTGATGCAAAAGACCCTTACTGTGGTTGGTGTTCCTTGGAAAAAAGGTAAATACAAATTTACTTACTAATACGCATTGTTTCACAGAATATTTATAATATAAAAAAAAATTTTTTTTAATTGCTGAATTATATTTATTTCATATAGATGCACAGTTAGAGGTGACTGTCAAAAAGCAAGTCATAGTAGTCCAAGATGGTTGTCCTTAGGCACTGGTCAACAGTGTATTGATTTTGAGCAAGTGTTTCCTGATCATTTGCCTATCAATCAGATGATTACGGTTCAGTTAACAATTAGAACATTACCCGAATTGCCAGCAGGTGCTAATTACAAATGCGTTTTTGGCAATGCAGAACCAATTGATGCATTGATGACTGGTTTTGGCCTTTCCTGTCCTACACCACCTATTTCAGAAAGGCCTAATATAATTGATGGAACTGATCATGTTCTTGTGCCATTATCTGTTCGTTCAAGTGAAACCAACAAAGATTTCGTTTCTCGCAATTTTGCATTTTTCGATTGCTCTAGACACACCGTATGTACTGAATGTGTCAAATCTCAATGGGCGTGCAGCTGGTGTGTGTATGATAATAAGTGTACGCACAATACAAGCTGCCAAGGTATAATATCAGGAGAAAATGTAAGTGTGTTATAATTTTGTTGATATTTCTTATATTTTCTTGTTAAAATCAATTTTTATATTTTGAAATTCTGATATTTTTTATTTTATTTTGTATAGAATCAGGCACATCTTGCTGCACACGGAGCTCAGTACTGTCCTAGATTCGTACCACAAAAGGAACCTTTGATGTTACCAAACAGTGTACCTAAAGAAATCATTTTAGAAGTTGAAAATTTACCACATCCACAAGTAGGGCACAGTGGATTTCAGTGTATCGTTACGATAGAAGGAGCTAATTTAAAAGTTCAAGCAAGAGTTGACAGCAGTCGTTTTATAGTTTGTGACAAAACAGTATATTCTTACGAAGCATTTACGGGAAAATATAAAGCCGAAGTGACCGTCGTTTGGAATGCCAATCATTATGTAGATCAAACAAAAATAATTCTCTATAAATGTGAAGTACTTGGATCGCATAGAGAGCATGCAGACTGCTCTCTCTGTTTAACGAGAGATCCACGATTCGAATGTACATGGTGTGGGAATAGTTGTGTGTATAAACATTCTTGTTTGCATTCACCATTTGCAGAATGTCCGAAACCTAGGATAGACATGATCAAGCCCCTAAGTGGGCCGATTGAAGGTGGTACGTTAGTCACTATCGAAGGCAGTAATTTAGGATTAAAGAAAAGTGACGTTGAAGGAAAAATACATATTGGAGATACCCCATGTACTTTGGTGGACTATGAAGTGTCCGTTCGTATTGTTTGCCAAACAGGCCGGCACGAAGCAACGGATACAGCTTCCGTAGTCGTTGGTAATGACGCTGGATTTACAGAAAGTGCAGTGTTATTTAATTATAAAGATATACGTCTAACTGGTATTTATCCATCTGTTGGTCCACAAAGTGGTGGTACACAACTAGCCATTACTGGTATGTATTTAAACATTGGAAGTACGATATCTGCGTATTTGGATGAACTATCATGTCACGTGAATGCAACACAAGCAAGTAGTACAAGATTAACGTGCGTTACAAGTAAATCTGGTCGTGTAAGGAGGATTCACAAGTTAACTTTATCTATTGACGGGGCAAATCGTACATTAATAAATAATCCATTTAATTATACACATGATCCAACTATAATGGAGATCAAACCATTGAAAAGTTTTGCTTCTGGCGGACGAATGATAACCGTTCACGGTACGAATTTAGATACCATTCAAAAACCAGAAATGGAAGTTTATTTTGAAACCGAACTTATGCCAGTTAATCGTACCATTTGTGCGGTATTAAATCCAACACAAATGGAATGTCCAAGTCCTAGTGTTGCTGGAAGATTTGTATCTCTTCATCGTAACGAACGTACGGCAACAGGTATTTCACATTCGATGAGAGTTGAATCTCAATTATCGTTTAAAATAGCATTTATTATGGACAACGTGGAAAGTGTTAGAGATTTAGAAAAGCATTTTCAAAGTCTTAGAAATCGTTTATTGTACGTCGAGGATCCGAAATTTTTTCCATTTCCACGTAATGTGAAATTGTATAAAGGTGATACGTTAGTTATCGAAGGAGAAAATCTAAATTACGCAAGCGATGAATCTGACGTAAATGTTACCGTTGGTATGATGCCATGTAACGTTACTTCTCTTGCATTATCTCAATTGGTCTGTACACCACCGGATCAACAACCCGATCCTACGGATGAACTTGGAATAAAAACAGAAAATGGTTTACCTTTGGTAGTAGTACGTGTTGGAAAGAGTTTACGATTTCCTATTGGGTATCTTCATTACGAAGTTATCAAATCTTATCCAATACCACCGGAAGCAATAGCGGGTATCGCTGCTGGTACATTTGGTCTTATATTCTTGTTCATTTTGGTGTTAATCATTTATAGAAGAAAAAGTACACAAGCCGAAAGAGAATATAAACGGATACAAATACAAATGGATACTCTTGAAAGTAACGTTAGAATGGAATGCAAACAAGCATTTGCCGAATTACAAACTGACATGACAGATCTAACAGCGGATCTCGAATCGTCTGGCATACCAACACTCGACCATAAAAATTATATTATGAAAGTCTTTTTCCCTGGTGTTATAGATCATCCGATATTGAATGATCAGCGATCACGCAGCAATGTCTCTCGCACAAATTATGATGCTGCAATGGTGCAATTTGAACAACTTATTAATAATAAATACTTTGTATTAACTTTTATTGACACGTTAGAGGCACAAAAGGATTTCAATATACGAGACAAAGTTAACGTTGCCTCATTATTGATGGTAGTTTTAATGGGAAAAATGGAATATGCAACTGATATACTTATGAATTTATTACTTAGACTGATCGAGAAAGCGGTTAATACGAAGCATCCACAACTTATGTTAAGGAGGACAGAATCTGTAGTTGAAAAAATGCTTACCAATTGGATGGCACTTTGTATGTATAATTATTTGAAAGATTACGCGGGTTCGTCGTTATTTTTATTATTCAAAGCTATTAAGCATCAAATAGAAAAGGGTCCTGTGGATGTTATTACGCACGACGCACGTTATTCCTTATCAGAGGAAAGACTTTTACGTGAACAAATAGAGCACAGTGTTGTGACGTTGCACGTTGTTCAAGATGATTTGGATGAAAAAATTCAGTGCAAGGTTTTAGATTGCGACACGATAAGTCAAGTGAAATCTAAAATTTTGGATGCACTTTATAAGAATACTCCATTTTCGTTAAGGCCGTCCATTCATGATGTGGATTTAGAATGGAGACATGGCCGTGGTGGCCATTTAACGCTTCAAGATGAGGATCTGACTACCAAATGTAGTGGTGAATGGAAAAAGATAAATACGTTAGCTCATTATGGTGTCAAGGAATCTGCTGTAATGTCTCTTATACCCAGACAAAATGATGGCTTTCCTGTTTCTTGTAAACTACCATGTCATGCCTGCAAGCCATCTCATTATCATCATCAACAACAACCGATTCATCATCATGGTCATCATCATCATTTACATCAGCATGCAAATCATTGTTCGTCCACTCATCTTCCATCCGCACCAAATCACAGCTTAATAAGTCCTATAATGTATAACCATCCTGTTAGCGGGTGTTATTTCGATTCTCAACATTCACCGCCGATAATAACGGCAAACGGTGACGTCGAGAGTGGGCACGGAGGTAATCAACGATTATACCATTTGGTGAGGCCTATAGAAGAAGTACACTATCCTCCTGGCATGGGTTTCACAAGTAATAAACACCACCATCATCCTGAACGAACGCACAAAGCCATTCCCGAAATATTCTTAACGAGGTTGCTCTCAACGAAGGGCACTGTCCAAAAGTTCGTTGACGATTTTCTTAATACGATATTGACGGCTAATGAAGCATTGCCCAGTGCTGTTAAATGGTTGTTTGATTTACTCGACGAAGCTGCCAAACAACATGGTATTGTAGACCCAGAAGTGGCACACGCGTGGAAATCAAATAGTTTGCCATTAAGATTTTGGGTGAATTTTATTAAAAATCCAGACTTCATGTTCGATATTAACAAGTCTACGACTGTCGACTCCAGCCTCTCTGTAATAGCACAGACATTTATGGATTCGTGTTCTATGACAGAACACAGATTAGGCAAAGATTCTCCGTCAAATAAATTATTGTTTGCCAAGGATATACCACATTACAGAGAAAAGGTTGGTCGTTTTTATATGGACGTACAGAGGCTGCCACTAATAACAGATCAGGAAATGTCTAGTGCCATGCAACAATTGAGTGCGTCTCATGCTAATGAATTTGACGTGGTTGTAGCATTGAAAGAACTGTACGCGTATGTCAACAAGTATTATGAACAAGTGAGTTTCATGGTTTTATTTTTATCAAAATAATGCAATATTATATTTATAATGTTTATATATTTATTTCAGATCTTAGAGGCCTTGGAGACAGATGCAGGCTGTCGCAAATTACACCTAGCACATAAACTAGAAAACGTAGCATGCACACTCCAAGGGGAAGAGACTAGTGCCTGCTGACACAACCTCCTACTTTCCATCCCAGGACCTATCGACCTCTCCAGAAACACTGACTAGTGCCTCCACTTCATGCATCAGATACACCTCGTTACATATGTACAAATATACACGCCATGTGCATAACAATGCCGTAAGTATGTGTGATTTTGCTAAGGATAGCCACGTGATAGTGCACGGGATGTCATAATCCTGCTGCAGTGTTTTGTTTGTCTCATTAAAATGCACTGGCGAGAAGAACATGCATAGATATTAACACAAGCAAAATATTGGCAATTGTAATCCTTAAACCTAATTTGTAATATAATATAGAGGTACTTTAAAATGATAAAATGAATGCCTACTGTAAAATATATTGACGATAAGGACGAGCGACTGAAATACTCATTTGAATCTCAATGATAGTATGTGTGATATATTGCATGTAAAACTTTCGCACTAGAGATCTTGGCTACTCAAAGATATTGTGCTATAGTACATAAAGAAACATAGGTTTAAGGATTAGAGATGCAAATTAATAATTATATATGATTATTCATTAGAAATTTAAATGTGAGTTTTTAAATTCCGACTAATAATAAGTGAATATCTATGCATGTAATTAAATAAAAACAAAACGTATATATACAACACAATAATACGTGCAAGAAGAGAACAAGTGAAGAAGCCATTGTGTCCACCAGACTGTTTGTACAAATGGTGTACGGCAGCGAGTAGTCTGTGATCCGAGCACGAGTGGCTATGCCTACTATCTTCATTACGATACATATAATTATTAATATGTTATATATAAATATATATATATATATATATATATATACATGAAAAATATATAAAGCAAAAATCACGCAACACACACCTTCATGGATTGTAGTGAGCTAGCTAGAGAGGGACTATATATGTATTATAAGTTGAAGGGTTAAATGCTCTGTTGAAAGAGGCAGCATAAGAGATAATATTAAATTAAGACAATTAAAATAACTTTAGCGAAAAAATTCAAGGATAAAGAGTTATGTGAGCAGCTCAGTCAGTTTAGGCCTATCTAATACGTATGTTCATCATGTAAGAAACGTCTTTATTTATAAAACATTGTTTAGAATTCATATTTTGTTCATACTTGTTTTAGGCAATCAATATGGATATGGAATATCGTTGTTGTGTAATTTGCGATCGTCGTTTTCAGAAAAAAAAAAGAACTCAGTAAGATCATCATCATTGTCATGGTTTATTTCATTCTAATCGCATATGTGGCCAAGATAAAAAGAAAAGGGACTTTAGTAAAGAAAAATTATCTTGACCGCGTACGCGTGAAATTTCTATTATTACAATTACAAGTCACTATTGTCATTATTACAGCTACTATATTATCATCTCTATCATTATTACACTACTATTCATACTACTACTACTATTATTGCTACTATTACTACTACTATTACTACTACTATTACTTATATACATATTATTAACACTGATCATTCAATAATGATGATTCTTATCGTATATTGTTAAGAGAAACCGTATAACAAATGCAAAAAAAAAATGTTTTATATGATTGGATATAGATAATATTATACACACATATTAAATATTTTTTTTTATTTTTTTTTTATTTTTTTTTAATCATCATCTGATTAGGAGAGCAACAACAGTATTGAACAAAATGTATATATTTGTCAAGAAGCACTTTTTCATCATCCATTTTATGAGATATAAAAAAGAAAAAGAAAGTCACGCTACTGATGATGCTAATGCATTTAAAACAATTTTTTGTCGTTAACAACGACGTACACATAGTATTCCTTTATAAATGCATTTTATGTTTAGTTAATATGTATAAGACTGGCTTTTTTTTTTTAAAGTAACATTCTTGAGATGATCGTTAATTCATCTCTTAACTTGTATTATTCCGAACAAAAGAAAGAATTTAATCAATTCAGCGCACACTGCCAAGGCTTTCTTAATGCGCTATATTATAAATTCTCGATCAGTTTAACAAGAAATACGTATTTAAAGCGGTTATTTGAATCGAATCAAGAAAATAACAAGAAAAAAAGAAAAAGAGAAGTTGATGATGTTCTGTCGATGGTAGGCCTAGGGAATCTGGGGGCAAAAATTACTCTCTTGTACTTAACAATCCTTTCTCCCTTGTATTTCAATTAATCTCGAGTCCCCAGAATCCCTCCCCTGCGACATTAATTAATTCATATTATCTCACTCTATTATATGTATTGTATTTATTTATATTACAAACAGACTAACTCTCTTTCTCTATAATTATTATTATTATTGAAATGTGCGTTAATCTGTACACTCCGCATCAACATTTTTTCGCATAATTCTTTTTACATCTCTCTGTGCGTATAATTGTATCAAATTGAGTGCAAGATTGTATTTGTATGTATGTATACACATGATTTTTATTTTTATTATTATTTTAAAAAATTTTGTTTGTATTTAAATTGAATTCTATTCTCGAAACGAAACCATTCGAATTTATACTACACAACACAAAAAGATGGTTATTGTGAAAATACGAGAGTATCGTTAGTATTATTTTTGTAAAACGCATACATTCGTATGAACAAATGAGATATATGTATGTATGGTCCTTGTTCGCGAAAATATTGTAAAAAAAAAAACAAATACGGTATATGTATGTTACTTATTCTACCATACATTTAACGTGAGCTTTCGTTAGTACGAAATTTAATTAAGATAAAAGATTTGATATTTAATATTATCTAATTCGTAGTGGTAATTATTTTTTTCAAATAATTTATTTTTCTTTTATTTTGTTCCTCCTTTTCTTATTCTTTTTTCTGTAAACTCCAAAATAGATCTGAATGTTTTAATTTAACAACCAAATTACATTGTATTCGTATTAAGTAGGGAGAGGGAGAAAAAGAAATTAAGAGCATTTTGTTATTATTTTTTACTTTATTTTTTAGAATCGTGTATATATAATATATTGACACATAAACCGTCTATACTTATATAATTCTAGTTTATATAAAAATCAACGATTTACCAACGCGCATTATATGACTATATTGTAAACGTACAATTTTATGGATAAAATGTCCACAAATATTAACTCTTTATCTGCCCTTACCCAAGTAAACGAATAAAGGAAAAAAATAATGATGGTAGGATAGTAATGATGATGATTATCTAATACGATAATAAGATTATCGCTTTCGATAAAAGAAAAAAGAGAAATCAAAGAGCGTCCCATTTTTCACAACGCTCGTTAGAAATAGTACGAATAATATATTTTTCATTCCTTAATGATGAAATAAAAACAAAAGAAAAAAGAAATAAGTAAATAAATAAATTAATAATAATGATAATAGATTAATAATAATATAAAAATGATAAAAACAAAAAAAGAAGTTTAATTTACTTCGGTGTGTGGCAGGTAATGCGTTAAAAACATTCAAAGAAGCGAGAGTATGATTAAATATTTTGTTGGTTTAAAATGACAAATAAATTTGTAATAAATAGGAATAATGACTGTTCGTTGTAGTATGGCTTTTGGAATGTGACATTCAACATCCTTAAATGCATTTTTAATTGCTTCATTCACTTGACTGCCAAAAAAATACATAATATCTTCAGATTTGTTATTCGACTCGTAATTATATATTAATCAATTAGATTTTCGTACAAAAAGTCGATTGAATTTTTCGCGCAATCTATATCATAGATTATAAAAAAGATAAAACTTTTTCTAATCATGAAGATAAATTTTTATCGAGTTTTTTAATTCAACAATAAAAAATAACACGCTTAAAAGGTATTGATAC